TGTTGCACGGTCCCGTTCGCGGCCGTTTTGTGGGGATGTCTCAAAAGGTTTGCCTGTGTTCTGTCTCAGCACCCTTCGCTTTCGGAACAGATTTGGAGGATGTCTCGAGCGAGGCGCTCATGTTCGCCCCCCTAAGGGGAGCCGCCGAGGGGTGTTGCACGGTCCTGTTCGCGGCCGTTTTGTGGGGATGTCTCAAAAGGTTTGCCTGTGCTCTGTCTCAGCACCCTTCGCTTTCGGAACAGATTTGGAGGATGTCTCGAGCGAGGCGCTCATGTTCGCCCCCCTAAGGGGAGCCGCCGAGGGGTGTTGCACGGTCCTGTTCGCGGCCGTTTTGTGGGGATGTCCCAAAAGGTTTGCCTGTGCTCTGTCTCAGCACCCTTCGCTTTCGGAACAGATTTGGAGGATGTCTCGAGCGAGGCGCTCATGTTCACCCCCCTAAGGGGAGCCGCCGAGGGGTGTTGCACGGTCCTGTTCGCGGCCGTTTTGTGGGGATGTCGCAAGCGGTTTGCCTGTTTCTGTTGGAGCAGAGTTGGAGGATGTCTCGAGCGAGGCGCTCATTTTCACCCCCCAGGTGGGCCAGATGTTGAGGGTGTCTCGATTGGTTTGCCTGTTTTGGTGGCCAGACTCGTGGGCACATATTCTCCTCAGGAGGCTCCAACAGGCTCCAGGAGGCCCCAGGAGACCACATGAGGTCCCAGGAGGCATCATGAGGCCACAGAAAGACTCAAGAGGCCACAGGATGTCCCAAGAGGCTCCAGAGGCCCCAGGAAGCTCCAGGAGGCATCAGGAAGCCACAAGATGCCCCAGCAGGCCGCAGGAAGCGCCAGGAGGCCTCGGAAGGCAACAGGAGGCCCCGAGAGGTCCCAGGAGCAAGAGGCCTCAGAAGGCAACTCCTCCTCCTCCTTCCTCCTCCCCGCCCTCCCCCTGTCCTCGTTTTAAGGCGCGGGCGCGCGCGCCTAACGGCGGGGCCGGGTGGCTCTCACCCCGCGGCCGCACCCTCGCCCAGTGAGGTTTCGCCGCGCGTTGTGCGCCGCGGTCATTTCCCTCATCGCCCCCCCCTGTTCCCTTCCTTTGTCTCCTGGCTCGCTCCCCCTTTCTGGCCACAAACAGTCAGAGTGCACTGTAAGAGCTTATAGCTTACATCATGTCTGCGGCCATCGCTCAGTGCCGGCTGCAGATCCTGCGCAGGGCTATGCTGTTCGCAGGGCTCCTTTGCCCTTTGCAGCCGAGGCGTGAGCGGAAGGGTGCATTACAGTCCGTGTTTGCAGGCGGAGACCGCTCATCGCCCTCGGCTGCGGGTTCTGCGCAGGCTGCGGGTCGCAGGACGTAGGAATACGGAACCAGCATACAGAAGGCAACAGGAGTGGCTCCAATCCCATGTGTTTTACGTACGCTCCTATAGATTGGGCCTCACCTGGAGCACGATTTCTGGATGCTATACGTATGTTTCTACATATGTATATATATATATATGTATAGAGATATTGTCCTTCTCCTGTGTACACAATCCTAAATGTTTTACTTATGTTCCTATAGATTGGGCCTCTCCTGGGGCACGAGTCCTTGGTGTTTACGTGTGTTCCTACATTTAGATTGCCCTTCTCCTGTGGCCTTCCAATCCGCAATGTTTTATGTACGTCGGTTGCCATATACTGGACCTCTCCTGGGGCACGAATCCTCCCTAGGAGGTCCCAGGAGGCCCCAGGAGGCCCCAAGATGCTCCTGGAGGCCCCAGGAAGACCCAGTAGGTTTCAGGAGGCCCCAGGAGGCCCCCGGCTCATGCGCAGAGACGGGCTCGTACTACTGAGGCAAATTCACACTCCAATTCATTCGCAATTAGAGTCATGACCAGACCGTCACAACTGAAGCCCGTTTATACTCGAAAGCTCTTGCGCCTAGACATTCACGGCGGACGGGTCCATGCGAATAGATGCACATATGGTGAGCTCCACGCAAGGAATAATTATTTCTCCCGACTGCCCGATCGCGACGCCACGCGTGATTCCTGTCATCTGGGACGGGTCGCGACGCTTCGCGACGCCTCGAGCGAGTTTCGTCATCTGGGCCAGCCAGGTCCAACCACCTCTTACTTCCCATTGTCATGACGCTACGCGCGCTTTCCGCAATCCGCCGCCTCCGGAATGCCAGGAGCCTGGGGCTACTGCCCTCTAAAAACTACTCCCACTGGGCTTGGGCCCAACCGCCAGCCACATGGAGAGCTGCGCAAAATCCATCCCTCGTTGGGCAAGTCGCCTCCAGCACGGCTAAGATTGCCCAGGATGGCCTACGGAGAATCGCCGTAGAAGCATCCAGGATTGCCCCATGACGGCCCGAGAAGCCCCCAAGACGGTCCCGATAGAGCCCTAAGACGACCCAGGAGACCTCCAAGATGTCCGAGATGGCCTCCAAGACGAGCCTGAAGCGCCCCAAGTCGGCCCAGAGAGGCCCCCCAGACGGCGTCCGACGGTTCCAGACGGGCCAGGAACGCCGTCAGAAGGTTCGAGAGCCTCCAATGGGCACGAGGCTCCCAAGAGGGCTCATCCTCTCAGGGGCGCGCAACCATGGATTAGCGATCCATGGATTTGGCGCGCGGTCGCCAAATCCATAGATCGGGGGAGGTGCCCTCCCCAAAATGCGGCCAATGCCGCCTCGCTGGCGGCGGAAATCCGCGACTTCCCATGGAAAAGAGACCCGTCGCTAATCCACGCCCCCTTGATCCATGCTTGCGATCGCCTGACATAAGAGTGCCCCACGAGGCTCCCAAGAGGGCTCCTCCTCCACTCCCTTGTTCCTCCCTTTCCTGTTTTCCTCGTCCTCCCTTTTTCCTTCTCCACTCACATTTTCCTCCCTTTCCCTTTTTCTCCCTTGTTCCTCCCTTTCCTCCTCTTCTCGGTTTTCCCTCTCGCGTTGCCCCCGAAGGGTTGCCGCAACGGCGGGGGGGGAACACGCAGCTGGACATCGCTCCGCCGAGCTCCGGCCACACAACGTTCGGCCACAGTAGGCACCTCCGAAGAGTCAGGGGGCGGCGGTGATTCGCCATAGTCTTAGGTCGGGCGTGTCCCCCTACAGGCGGATCTTGGGCGAAACACTGAACACACGCCAAAACATAGTCTGAAACAGTTATTACAAGTACTCAAAAATCGTCCCCGGACTATTTTGTGACTATCTTGAATATTAATCCTGTACAGGGACAGGCCCGAACCAACGATGGCTGTCCCCGATTAAAATAGTTGCCTGCTGCGGATTCTCCAAATCCTCGCAGACTGCAAACAACTCCGCCGCCCCCTGACTCTTATCCGCAACTGCGGGGGCTATGGTTCACCTCCCCCAACCGACTGGGCGCAAGCCTGGAGCCAAGACAACATCCCTGTTAACAAAAACAATACAAAATGCACACTGCGGCAAAACCGGGATCATGCGCGGGCACCCAGCGATAACTTTGCATCTTGTTGGGCAGGGGTGAGGGGGGCGACGTATTGCCTGCCGATGAGGCAAGCCCATCATATCTGCAAAAAACAATGCGGCGTACGATTTGCGGCAACATCTTGATCATCCGCATTCGCCCCCGCGATCACACTGCATTGTTGTTTGGCAGGAGCGATTGGGGTGCCCTGGTCCTGGCACGCGCGGCGCACCTCGCGTGCGTCGCGCCCCTGGCCAGCGTCTGTATTGGTTTCCCATGATTGTCGATGGCGGCCCCTGCCCCTGCTGAACATGGGGTGCTATGTATGCGGTAGGTGGGCGGGACGGAGTGAGCGAGACGGCCGTCATTCGCCGGGTGGGGGCTTGATCACTTGATGACTGCTCTGGATGTATCTGCACGCCATCCGACACCTGAACAGGGGCAAACCCAGAACCATGCTTCCCCCCAACCACCTCTGTCAATAACTAATCCAACCTTCACTTTGCGGCAGAATTTGAATCATGCGCGGCCACCAAGCAATCACATTGCGCTACAGCGTGTTGCCTGTTGCGCACAGGCCCATTATCCCTGATAGAAGAGTGCGAACTGCACTTAGCGGCAAAATCTTGATCATGCGCCTCCACCTCACATTGCATTGCGCTCTGGCAAGGGTACTGCGAATGCCCTGGCACGCGCGGCGCACCTCGAGGTCGAGGCGCACCAGTCTGGTGTCTGCATTGGTTCCCGATGGTTGGTTGTTGCTCCTTACTCCCCATATTCTGAGATGGGGTCCTTAATATTAAATGGACGCCTCCAGGCCTCCACCCTCAGTTTACCGTCATACCACTCAGGTACTCATACTCAGATCACTCACGCCCATCACGGGGCCCATCACAGCCCCACTCTCCCTAACGCAAAATCAGCCACATCACTTCCTCGCCCAGACCCCCTCAGACTCAGACTCACTCAGACCCACTCGGGGAAGCAGCCTCAGACGCACTCTCGCGAATACACCATCAGACCCTCTCACTTCGACGCGCTCTTCCTTCCTCAGACTCGCTCAGGCTTCTCTGGTGGTCCACTGCTCACCGCGAACCAGCAAGCGTGGCGCTTGGGCACCCAAAGGGGGAGCCGCCAGGGGTGGGGACACCGGACTCGCGCCGAGATTGGGGGACGTCTCAAGCGGTTTTCCTATTTCTGCCCATTCAGATTTCTTCCTATCTTGGTTGTCCACTACCCCGATGTAGCAGGCGTGGCACTGAGGCACGTCAGCCGAACGTCGAGATGGTCGGCTTTGGTGCGGGCATGGCGGCGTGCAACGAACGTGACTTTCGGTGCGCCACCTGGAACGTGGTTTTGAGTCGGAGCGTGAATGTCAGACGGTAACTCCCTGCACTTCTGTCCATATCCTCCGCCTTTCAATTCCAAGAGAAGGTCTCCGAGGCAGTGACAAGAGACTTGGTGTCAGCAGCTCTGCTTCTTCTTATTATGCTTCGTAGCGTTCTCCTCATCCTCCTTCTTCTGAGTATCACTGTTACTGTTCGTCGCCTTTTTCATCACTTTTCGTCCTCTTCATCTTGTGTGAAAGCCGCGAGGCCGTTGGATAGAAAGGCCCACGCAGCCGTCCTGCCCGAGGTGCTCCAGGGCCGTGCCGCAGCCCTCCTCCGAGGGGCGGGCCAGGAGCGCTGCCGACCGGGCGCGCCGCCGCGCTCCCCGCGGGGTGGACGCGCCCTCCCCGGGGATAGATCCCGGCGCTGCTCCTCCGCCACAGGGCGTCCTCGCCCGGCCGCGGGCCCCAGGACGCTCGCAGACGGAGGGGGTCCGGGGCTCCGGTCGCGACGTCTTGCGATGTTGCAGCTCGTGTCGGCATCGTGGGATCTCATGGTGTGGGCTCTCCCTAAGGAGACTCGGTGCCGGGGGGGGGGGGGGACAACTTCGAGGGCGCCTCCGTGCCACAGCCCTCATTCGAGGGACACTGCCGACCGGGCGCGCCACCGCGCTTCCAGTTGGATGGGAGCGTCCTCTGAGCTCTCCATGGGAGACTCGGTGTCTGGGAGGCCCTGGTACCCCGTGCGATGGCCCCACGAGAGGAGACGCAAGTCTCAGACCACAAGCAAAACGGATCGAAGGTCGGTGCACTGTTTTCCATCCCTCGTGATGACCACTGATCTCGCAGCCTTCCACCATGGGTTCCCCTGAGTCCATACGCCCTCACATGGAATACAATGCTGCCATATTTGCTTTTAAGCCGTTATCCTGCACGGATTATTGTTTTACCGCATCTGGGACTGAGTTGACACACGTTGCACGAGGAAAGAAGTGGTCTGCAGCTCTCGGCATGGCGAAACTGCTGGATGCGGCCTTGGCAATGCCCCAGCTGTTGGGAGGCCCAGCCCAGGCTACGCCACGAGACAGAGAGTCGATACTCCTCCGGTCTAATAAACCCTAACAGTTTGTTTCGCGCCTAAGTGGTGACAACAAGACCCTTTGAACCCAAGCGGTGAGGAGACGTTGGACTGAGTGAAAGCTTGGAGAACGAATCTAACACGGGAGACATCTTCACACGGAAACGGAGGGCACTCTGTACTCTCTGTGCCATTCCTTGATACCGCAGTCAGTGTCTGGTCTGGCTGGCTGAGGCGATGGAAGGGAAAAGGGGAAAAAAAGGAAGTGTCAGCCCGATGCATGCGAAACTCGCCTAGGCACTCAGAGCATGGAATCCTCCAAGGAGGCTGTGCACCGGACGAAAATGACAAGGCGGCGTGATCAGAAGCAAAGGGAGAGGAGGGGAAGTGATGGGGGGAGACCAGGAAGGTGAGACGAGGCGAGACGAGAGCGCAGGCGGAGCAGCAACAAAATTCTGGTCGAGAGAGGAATGACTGCAGATAGGGCTAGTCCTTGCCATACAGTCGAACCTCGGCCGGAAGAACATCCCTCAAGAGCATGACACCGTTCGCCAGCCAAAACACACAGAACATCCAAGGGTATCCTCCCCAGGGATTGCACAAGCAAATCCAACAAACACGAAGAACATTGGGATACCCTCCCCGAGCCGACGTCGATCTTATGCCTCGGTCTGGCCGTATCCTACCCGCCCCTTTGGCTCCTCCCCGCTCTCGGGGCTGTCGCCCGCAAGCTTCCGGACGACGTCCCCCGCGACTGAATTGCCTGCGGGTCGCTCCCCTCTGCCGCATCGCTCATTCCTCAAACTTCCTCCCCTCCCTCCACACGAGGCCTTCTCGGGACCCCCCGGGCAGTCTCAGGGAATCATTCAGTCACTCTTGGGTCGTCTAGGAGACCTCTGAAGAATTCTTGGAACCGTCTTGGGCTCAAGAGCCCGCAAACGAAAGACACTGAACAACGAATGATGCCAAACAAATGCCCAAACAAGATACAACGAAAGTTCAGAGTGTTACAACTTACGGGATTCAATAACTGGTTCCCGTCTTGAACTCATTAACTTCGCTGTTCGCGCAAACATCCGGCCCTCCCAACCGCAACTTGCTCTTGCTGGCAAGTCCGTCCTCCACGACGCCAACAACGATAGGGATGACAGTTGTGATGACGCATATACCTATGGCGAAAAGAAAGGAGATGGGGAGCATGCGATGTCGACGACGAGGATGGTGGTACTTAAGCTGATTGTGATCAGAATGAAGGTGACAACGGTGTTGGTGATGATGATGGTGCTGCTGATGATGAGGAAGTGGCCGCGCACCAAAAGTGACGAGGGTTACACGATCGACGATGACGACGATCATGGTAATGATCGCGACGATGGTGATGATGATGATGATGATGATGATGATGATGATGATGATGATGATGATGATGATGATGATGATGACGATGGTAATGGTGTTCCTGACAAGTTGAACCGGCATGGCCGCCTCAATCGACAGGGCAGGCCACGGTGTGGGATGTGGACCCCTTTGCGCACGGGTCCATGCCGAGGGCGCGTGCAGGTCTAGGCTGCAAGCGTCTTAGATGATTACCAGGACGGGCGGCTTGGGCCCACGACTCTTGCGAAGGGTGACAGGAAATCAGCGTGAAGGAGCAAAACATGGGGGAGCGTCGACATGTCAGGGAGACCTGGAAATGCGGATGATCAGAAGGTGAGGGAGCAATGTGATTGCATACGGTGACGTCCTGTCAGGCTACAGCGCCGATCTGGCACTGAACTCTCAACGGCCCAGGGGTGACACCAAGCGATCCGCAGACCCAAGATTGAACGCCCTCGGGCGGCACGTCCAGATCCCCAGCAACCGCAATGTAGAACACACTGCCCCTCTCGGTTGTCACCTGCCAAACGCCTTGCCTGTCGGAGAGGGCGTGTCCAGAGGCCTTATAGAACACTGGCAAGCCATCGGACAGCTCCTCCGACCTGCTGGACGTCCCGTCCACCTCGACCACCCCTGCCTCGGCAAGGGTGACCGACGCCGCAGTCGAGGACGGGCAGGCCGATGCCACGTCCGCAGAGGAGCAGCTCAGGCGGGGGGGCCAGTGCACGAACGCCTACTGTCCGAGCGCCAGCGAGCGCTGGATGTCTCGCACAGCCACGTCCTGCAGCGGGGTCCCCCCGCCGACGACGGCCAGGTCCGCCGTGGTGACGGAGGCCTGGCCGAGCTGCCAGAGGGTGGGTTCCTCGCGGACGGAGGCGAACGCCACGTGCGTGACGCTGGGGCAGCTGGGAGCCGCAAGACTGACAAGATCCATTCGCTTTGGCAGCACCAGGGAGTAGGGGATCTCAAAGAAATACATGCCGCCGTGCGCGGACGTCGTGAGGCCTTCGTTGTAGGCAACGTCGCGTCCCTGCGGGCCCCTCAAGGCAACACTCTGAATCTCATGTATGTCAATGGCCCAGCTCGCAACAGCAACGGAATCGTTGCGACACCCACCTGGCGTTAGTGCATTTATCCGGTCCTTCTGTGTGAAAACTTGATCTCCGACCATTCGCACCGCCTCGCGGACGTACAACTGCGGTGGAAAATGATCGCTGTCTGGCCACTCGTCCTTGCACAAGCCGTACATTGCATGTTTCCTCTGGAGGGGCTCTGGAGGGGACGTGTCTGTGAGCCAGACACACATGAGGCCCTGCACGTAGTACCGGTGTTGACTAGCGATCTGAAGCCTCTGAGACCTGCTTGCGTTGGGGTAGCCCCTTCCCAGCCCGACAGCATCAATTCCGAACGCAATCGGTCCACAACAAGCGTCGTATTTCATGGACTTGCTCGGGGGGGTATATAGCCATGGTAGGTCAAGTATCCCCAAGGTGGTCGGGGGGTACGATTGGTACCAAGCTCCGCCAACAAGTGACGGCGGGCGAGCTCGAAATCCTGCGGGTCGTACCCTGGTGGTGCCTCGACAGGCACCGAATTACTGCGGTTCATCGTGAGGCCCCCCCGGTAGCTATAAGCCTGCAGGTTTGAGTCAGCCTCTCGTTCTCGGTCGCGAGGGTCAGGGCCATCTTGAATGTAAGGAAGCAACTGCGTGGTTCCTTTGACGTATGGGCTGACGGGCTCTTCGAACTGGCCGACGCTACCCCGTGAGACCCCTCCCAGGGAGTCGTTGTGCGCGCTGGCAACTTCTCTGGAAAAGGATGGGTGACCCCAACGGAAATCAGCACGTCGCCCTCGTAGCTCGCATCGATGACGAAACTAGCCTCTACCCGCACAGTCGCTGCAGCCGCTTGCGGGTTGCTGGCGTTGCGACTGATCCTTCAGCTGGTGATGCGCGACTGGTTTACTCGAACGCTAGCTGCGCCTTCAACAATCGGCGAATTCATCCACAACTCCACTCCAGCCTCTTCAAGCATCGTCAAAAACGTTTGCTCCCCCAGCCAGTTATCAGGCTGCCAAACTGGGGCTTTAACTCAGTAGTAATTTGGATTTCTACGAGCCCACTGCATCTGCGTGCCATTGTTATCGCGCACGGCATTATCCTCGCAATCTCTGAGACCGATCCCGCCTGCAGAGGCCATGCCTCCAACATGCCCAGAGGGCTCTTTGCAGCAAGGGCTGCGCTGACGCCCGCAAGTGTGGCAACATACACGACAACATCGAAGCCCCTCGCTTCCGCAGGCGCTCCCGGCTCAATCCTGGCAGACGGCAACGAGTTCAAGGTATGGCTGCCGCGTACCCATCCCATCAGCAGCGCTGCATTCCACCAACAAAAAGCCACGCATGCCGCAACGAGCGGGGGCCCGGTGATCGCAACCATCCTTGAGACTTGGCTTGAGCCGTCGATGGTTTGAGCGAATGGCTGCGGAGGATCACGATCAAGTGCTTGCCAATCCAGAACGCGTGCGCACGCGGCCCCCTCTGGAAGCTCAAGATCCCAAACAGATCGATCAGAGAAAACATATCTCGTTGTCGGCCTCTTTGGGGGGCCTCTGAGGCCGTCTTGGGACGAACTTTGGGGCCTCGTGGGGCCCTTCTGGGCCAGAAAAAATGAAAACCAGAAAAACCTTCAAAACCAAAGGGGAATCAATGTATTTGGCCTCCTGAGGTCCTCTAGAGGGCCCTCTTGACGGCCTCTGAAGCCGTCTTGAGGCCGCCTGGAAGCCATCCGAGGCTCTCTTAGGACAGTCTTTGGGCCGTTTTGGGGTCCTCTTGGGCCGTCTTGAGGCCGTCTTGCCGTTCCACTGAAACAAATACAAGGGAACATGCCATGGGAGCCGTTTCACTCGAAAAAAATGCAAAGGAAGCGGCCTTCAGGCGGCCCTGACATCTGGGGCTTCTGGGCCTCGCCCCTCCCCTGGACCCCTCCCTAAGGGGCTTCACCCCACAACGAACGTCATCACTCGTACCTCGCTCTTTCCGTTACCTGCTTGGCATGAGTACGGAAATCGCGTTAGTTGTGTGAGGGCGCGAGAACGCTGGCTTAGAGGCTTGAAGCCCTGTTGGTCTTAAGGCGTTGGTACGACATACAGAAATAAATCTAGCAACGAACCTTGCGAAAACCAATACATATTACATGTCCGGGCCTTCCTAGGGGTCCTTTTGGACCTCTTTTTGGCCGTCTTGGGGCCCTTATGGGCCGTCCTGGGACCCTCTTGGGCCGTCTTGGCGGGCTTGTGCAGTCTTCGGGCCCTCTGGGGGGCCCTCCTGGGTCCCTATTGGGGACCTCTTGGGGCTCTCTTGTGAACCTTTGGAGGCCCTCAAGGGCCTCTCTCTTGGGCCGTCTTCGGGCTCTCTTGGGCCGTCTTGACGCACACTTGGGCCGTCTTTGGGGCCTCTAGGACCGTCTTGGGGTGGTCTTGGAGGCCTCCTGGACCGTTTTGGACGCTGTGAAGACCGAAGAAGCGAATATGCTAAAAATGTATGTCTTCCCCAGGTAATGGGACGATCTTCGCTTCTTGGAGGTCCCTTTTGGGGGCCTCTTGGGGCGTCTTGGGGCCTTTTGGGCTGTCTTGAAACCATATTGGGCCCTCTTGGAGCGCTCTTGGGCCGTCTTCGGGCTCTCTTGGAACCTCTCCGACGCCGTCTTGGAGGTGACTTGGGCCGTCTGGGGGGTGTCAGATCTGAGGCCCGGGCTGCCCACCCCCGTCCCCCCCCTGTTATTTCACCCGCCTAACGGGTCGGATCGCGACGCTACGCGCGCTTTCCAGCTTGCGCGCCAAGAGATGGAGATCACGTCGGACATAACCGATGGAATCTTGCGATCTGTTCACACGACGATAGGTAACGAGCGATACCATGCCTGCAACATTGACAGTGAAGCACAGACCACGCGAGAACTGAGACGAGCGTCCTGAATTAGTGATGAACGCATTCACAAGCTTCTTGGCAGGACCAGGAAGGGATGAGATGCTAGTCTTTAGCATATGCTTTTGACTGCTGTGTCGCCTAAAGACCAATGCCAACAATAGCAGAGACCAACTGGCACAACCCACCCGCAACGGAATCCTTGTCCTCCAGAGGTCGTGTTGTTTCAGGAGCTGCTCAAGCTCACAACGTAGCTCAGAATCCTGGCGACACATCTTACTGATTAGAGTGCCACTTCTGGATGCGGCGTTCCCAAGGATAAGCAAAACATCTTCCAGGTCATTGATTGTACAAGGCCCGCTTTGCTCAATCACACGAAAAAGTACCGAGCGAACCGAGAAACCAGGGTTTGTGTCAAACCGCTCCAAAAAGGCGCATACACGCGCAAGGGATGTCTTGAAAGGAGTCATCACAGTATATTTGTGTGGTCCCTCCGCAAGCAACCAAGGAGCGCAGCACCAACTTGCATGTGTGGCTCTTAAGCTAGGGTCCCATCTTAGCGTTCAGCTGGGATGGTGATGTCAAGAAAGGCTTGAGCCACACTTGAGCCAAAATGGCTACGGAACCCTCTTGGGCCGTCTTGGGGCCCTCTTGGGGGACCGTTTGGGAGGTCTTGGGGCGGTCTTTGGGGCCTCTTGGGCCATCCTGGACGCTGCTCAGACCAAAGAAGCGCTTGGGCTAAACATGCACGGTGTCCAAAGAAATAGGACGATGTCTACAATTTGGGAGTCCTTTTGGGAGTCTCGGGGAGCGTCTTGAGGGCCTCTCTGGCCGTCTTGAGCCCGCCTTGGTCTCGCTCTGAACGCTCTTGGGCCGCCTCGGGGCCTGCTTGCGCCTCTCTGAGGCCGTCCTGGAGGTATGCTAGGCCGCCTTGGGTGCCCTGCCGCCCGCCCTCTCTCGGCGGCGAGCGGGGGAAGTGAGAAGGGGCGGGCCTTCTCAGAAGGCTAGGAAGTTCCCCGGTCTTTAGAGACGTCTCCATCCTGAGCCTTCCCCGAAGACACAAACAGCTTCACAGAAGGCGCGAGGGCTTCTGAGAAGTCCCGCCGCCTTCCGAGAAGGCCTTCTCCTTCTCAGTTCCCCCCCCCGCTCGCCGCCGACTCTCCAGAGCACTCCGCTGACCCGCCCCCCCGCCTGCCCCCCTGCTGCCTCAGCCAGGGCTCCTCCCCTGAAGCCCACCCCGCGCCTGCACCACGTGCGCACCTGTGAGGCGGAGGTCTGCCCGCATCCACCGCCTGGTGAGCCGATGGCCTGGAGCTGGAGCCGCATGGAGGCGGCGGATGTGGATGTTCGGGACGATCGAAGTAACGGAAGGAATGGGTACGATGCCCTGGAGCAGGACTTTTGCACTTTGAACAGGAATCGCTGTCCGCGCCGCCGCGGACTTTGTTCTTGGAAGACAAAACGCCGCCTGCCCAACAGCGGCCGCTGTCGGTTTTGGACAACGTTTGTTGCTGGACATTGTACCAACTTGTTCCGTACCCGTTTCGGGCGTCGGAAGATGTTGGGCCCCAGGGCGGACCCGAAGATATGTCCACATCCGCAACCTCCCGAAGCCAAAGAAGATCCGTTCCCCACGCATGCGAATACGGATCAACACCGGCCGCGGATCACCCACCCATCGGGGGGAACGAAAGGGGGGGATAGCAAAGGGTAGGGTAGAGAATCAGCTCACGTAGCTGATTTTCCCAGCGCCTCCCGGCGCCCAGCGGCGGAGCCGAAACCAGCTGCATGCAGCAGATTTTGTACCCCCCATTTCCCTCGAGTCCAATTCCAGGCCTCTCCTGGGGGAGAGAACAATGCATAAACATCAGAGCTCGGAGGTCCGCGCGAATTCCCCGGAACGGCGCTGGGGCCCCCCAGCGGCGAATCTGGCGCCGCCCCTGGCGCGCTCCGCGCGCCAAGGAGGGGACTCTGGCGCCGATTCGGGGAATATCCGCGGGGCCTTCCGGATTGCTATGTTTATGTCATTGTTTGTTCCCTGATCTCGAAAAGGAAGAGGGCGCAGAACGTTTCGAGATCGGACACAAACAATGCATGAATACCTCTCCACTCGTGCCTCCGTGCCTCAATTCGTTTCCGGTGCACCCCAAGCTTTTGCTGACCGGCGCCTGTCTGACTTGGACCACTTGGCGCCCGCCGACTTAAAAAGTTCCCCGCTCTCCTCCCTCACTGCCAAAGGTGGGACGCACAAGGACATACTGGTACTATGTGCCCTCCTCGGAGGCGAGGGTCCGACCCGAACATTTGAAACAACCATCGTGTAATACTGTGTTCGATGGAACAAAATATCCAAACAAATCCCTGGACAACAACCCGGACAACCCGGAAAACCCCTCCATCCGGCGCTGAGGCGAGAGCACCACGTCTAATAATGAAGCATGTGGCCAGCACGAAGGCGACAGCACCAATCCCAGACGGGGATGTAGCCAGAGCTCGGGCGAGAGCACCATTCTCAATCACGGATGTTGCTGGCACTCGAGCGGCAACACCATACGAACCCAATGAAAAAGATTTTGCCAGCGCGGCATCCAATAACCCAGAATTGTAAAAATGTATCGGGTGAAACTGCCTGGAACACCTCCGGTCAGAGCACCTCTGAGCCAAGAGTTGCGAGGACGTCTCAGGCGAAACTTGCCAGACAAATTCTTCATGTTTGGTATCCTTGAGCCCAAAATCTGGAGGAAGTCTCTTGCGAAGCTGGCCGGACCACCTCAGACCAGAGTATATCGGAGTCCAGGAAGTCGCAAGGATGTCTCCTGCAAAACTGCCTGGACAAACTCGTGCGCGGCATCTCGGAGACCAGAATTGCGATAATGTCCCAGGCGAAACTAACTGGACAACCTCGTACGCGGCATCTCGGAGCCCAGAGTTGCGACGTCGTCGCAGGCGCAGCTGGCCAGACCACCTCTCGCGCGGAATCTCTGAGCCCATGCAGAATTGCGAGGGTGCCTCATGCGAAATGGACTGGATAACATCGTGCGCGGCATGTCGCAGACGAACCTGGCTAGACCACCGCAAGTCAAAACATAGGAGTCCAGAGTTGCGAGGATCCCTCAGGCGGAGCTGTCTGGGGCACCTCGCTTGCACCATCTCTGAGCCCAGAGCTGCAAGGACATTTCAAGCTTTCGAAACACCAACTCTCGCGCGGCATCTGACGGCGTCTCAGAAAGAACGGTCAAGGCCAAGGCATCTTTGAACCCAAAACTGCGAGGCTGTCTCAGGCGTTTTTGGCCACAAAAAGTCACGCGGCATCGCTGAGGCCAGAGTTGCGAGAATGTCTCTGGCGAAACTGGCTGGACCGCCTTGCGCGCTGCATCTCGAAGCCCTGATGTCTCTTGATGAACTGGCTGGACCACCTCGCGCCCTGCATCTCCGAGCCCAGAGATACGGGGACGCCGACATCTCCGAGCCCAGAACAGCGCGAATGTGTCAAGCCAAACAGACCAGACCACTCCAAGTCAGGGCATCTTCGAACCCAGAGTTGCGAGGACTCTGGCGAAACTGGCCAGACCACCCCCGATGTTGGCGGATGTCTCTGAGCGCCGGCCCCTGGGCCAGAACTAGGTTCTGTTCAAGAGGACCCCAGTCAGCACAGCTGTTTGGGGAAGAGCGGCAAGGGAGGGCGTGCGACCGGGAGCGGAAGGTGGACACGAGAGATGAGGAACGGACAGGAGGGGAAAGGGGAAAGACAGGCGAACGATGCGGCCTGGACGACCTCCTGGACAACCCCACAAGGATCTGGACCCACCCACAGGACAACCCCCCTTTGGACAGGCCTCCCCAGAATTCTTTTTCCATAAGAAATAAATATAGTTTCACGTGCGGTATGGCCAAAACGCGCCCGCCACGACGCATACACTATGAGATTTCTCGGTGCGCTCGTCGCCCCTGTGGGGGCGACGCACAAATAGCACAGTCGGACCCAGGCCAGAAGAACAGCCCGCAAGAACATGAGACCCTCCGCTGGCCAAATCACAGGGAATGTGCAAGGGTAACCCTCCCCAGGATGCACCAGAACTTCCAATGCACACGAAAAACACTAGGGCAGCATCCCCGAACCGACCTCCATCTCATATCTCGCTCCGACGGCATTGGCATGCTTGGGAGACGCCGGGACAAGCATGGCGCCCCTGGCCCCTGCCGGCCGCCTGCGCTGCCACGCCGCAGCACCGCGCTGGGGAGCCCCAGGCCGCCGATGGGCACCGACGCCACGGTGGCGATGCCCTGCCGGGCGTGGCGCGGGCTCACCGGCCCCCGGACCTTCACTCCTCTCCGGCCTCCGCCCTCCCCCCCTCTGACACCCCAGACCCCCATCGCGCTGGGAGCAAACGCCATGGCGGGACGCGCTCCGCTGCTTTCGGCCTCTCTGGAAGCTGCGGCTGGGCCTCGGGACAGTCAAGAAACGACTCGGGATGAAAAATCGGTCCCGGGCAAGGGGGGGAGAGCCATGGGTCGGGTCGGGCAAAAGGGGGGATAGAAAAGGGGGGGATTGAGAATCAGCTCACGGAGCTGATTTTCCCGGCGCCTCCCGGCGCCGGAGGCGGCCATGTATTGAGGAATGGGCCCCTCGGTGAGGCCGAAACCAGCTGCATGCAGCAAATTTCGTAACCCCCCCTTTCCCAATCCCCCCCTTTCGCCCGACCCGAATGGGGGTCGACGTGAGGGCCTCCATGGAAGTCCTGGGGGCACCTTGGACCAGGAGCACGTCCAGCAACACCCGACCAAATGGCAGAAACACCGCAGCCGTGAAGCAGGCGCAACTACGGAAGGACTCGGCCGGGCAGACCGTTCCAGGAAACGCCCAGGAATGTCCCAAACAACGTCACTTTCTGAGTGGGAGCTGGGAAGTTTGTTGTTGGATTTCTTCCGCGCAGAGGAGACGGAGAGGGCGAAGGAGGAGGAGGAGGAGGAAGAGGAAAAGGAGGAGGAGGCAGGGAGGAGGAGTGGAGGGGAGGAGGGGGGGAGAGAGGAGGAGGCTCGAGGGCGATCGACGATCGGCGACGACGACCGGCGACGGTGATTGACGACGACGACGACGATGACGACGACGACGACGATCTTCGACGGTCGACGACCGAGCACGACGACTATCGACGACGATGACAACAGTCGATGCCGCCGATCGACGATCGACGGCGACGACGACGGCCACGCCGACGGCGGCGACGCTGCCCGCGTGACAGCCCAAGAGGCACACAAGACAGCCTCATCGAGGCCCCAGAGGGCCCCAAGACGTCCAAGAGCGCCCCAAGAGGGCCCGAGATTGCTTGAAGATGGCCGAAGAGGGCCCCAAGAGGGCCTTCAAGAGGAAGAACTTTACCCATTCCTCCTGTGAAACGTACAATTTCAGCATACTCGCTTGCTTCGTCCTCAGAGTGGCCCCCGAGGAGCCCCAAAACAGCCCAAGACGGCCCAAAAGGCCCCAAAGCCAGCCCAGGAGGCCCCCAAGACGGCCTCAGAGAGGCCCAAGAGGGCCTCGTTCGAAATCATGTTCCCAGAAGCTTTTCCGGGAACATGATTTCCGGGTTTCTAGGACGCCCAAGAGGGCCCCAGGACGGCCCCAAAAGGGCCTAAAATGACATTCACAAATTCCCAGAGGGCCACAATTCGTTGATTTTCGCGAAATGTTGTTGGATTTCTTCCGCGCGGAGGAGACGGTGAGGGCGAAGGAGGAGGAGGAGGAGGAGGAGGAGGAGGAGGGGGAGGAGGAAGAGGAAGAGGAGAAGGACGAGGCGGGGAGGAGGAGTGGAGGGGAGGAGTGGGGCCGTCCTGGGGCCCTCTTGGGCGTCCTAGAAACCCAGAAATCATGTTCCCGGAAAGCCTCTTGGGCCTTCCTGAGGCCGTCTTGGGGGCCTCCTGGGCCGGCTTTGGGGCCTCTTGGGCCGTCTTGGGGGGGTTCCGTGAGCCTCACAGGACGACCCGTTTGGGCCGTCGTGGGCCCTCTTGGGTCTCTCTTGGGCTGTCTTGGGGCTCGGGGGCGTCTGGGGCACTGTGAGGACCAAGCAAACGAGTATGCTGAAAATGTATGCTTTACGAATGGAAATAGGCCGGTGTTTGCCTCTTAAAGACCCTCTTGGGGCCCTCTTCGGCCATCTTCAAGCCATCTCGGGCCCTGTTGGGGCGCTCTTGAGCGTCTTGCGGCCCTCTTGGGCCTCGCTGAGGCTGTCTTGTGGGTCTCTTGGGCTGTCTTTGGGGCCTCATGGGCCGTCTTGGGCGGGCTCGTGGACCCCACAGGAAGCCCCGGGCGGCCATGCCAGCCGGTGGCACCACCCCGCCCCCGCCCCCGGGCCCCGTCCGTCTGTCCTACTGCTCCTCTCCAAACCCTCGTTCCCTAACCTCCCGATCATGTTCCCGGACCCCCGTCCCTTCCCCCCAGAGCACTGCAGCAAAAGGAAAGCGTTCCGACACGGTGAGAAATCATGTTCCCGGAAAACGTTCAAGAATATGAATCGTACGTCGTCCAAGGCGCCTCGGAAGGCGCAGAAAACTCCTCCAAAGCGCGGAATCATGTTCCCGGACCGCCTTCCGGGAACATGATGGGGACGACCTCCTGAAGGCCTCCAGTGGGCCTCTTTGGGGCCTCTCGGAAGCCTGTGGGGCTCTCCTGGAGGCGTCTTGGGGCGCGCTCAGGGCCATTTTTGGGCATCTTGGGGGCCTCTGGGGGCCTTCGGGGAGGCTCTGGGGGCCTCTTTGAGGCCTCTTGGGGCCTCGCGGGGCCCTCTTGGGCACCGCTGGGCTCGCTTAGGCAATCTTGAAGCCCTGTCGGGGCATTCCTGGAACCGTCTTGGGCGGCTCCTGGGCCATCTTGGGGCTCTCCTGGGCCGTCATTGGGACGATTTTGGGGGTCTCTTGGGCCGTCTTGGGGCGGTCTTGGGGGCCTCTTCGGCCGTCTTGGAGCGGTTTTGGGAGACTCTTGGACGGCCTTGGAGCGTCGGAACCCCGAAAAAGCGAGAAGGCCAAAAACATAGAAAAAACAAAAAAATCAACGATGTTGGCTTGTCGGGTTTCTCTTGGGAGGCCTCTTGGGATCCCTTCGGGGCCTCATGGAGCTCTCTTGGAACGTCTTCGGGCCTTCCTGGCCATTCCTGAGGCTATCTATGCGCGTCTTGGAGCGCTCGCGGGCCGTCTTGGGCGGTCTCGAACTGTTCCTGGCGGTCCCAGGGGCCCTCCGGGACGCTTCGGACGCTCCCGGGGGCGCCCTGCACACCCCATGGAGATGACAGGCACCGCCCCGGGGCCCTACTCCGATATATATATATATATATATATATATATATATATATATATACACACACACACACATAATATGTCCCGTCGTTCTAGCCCCCCCCCCCGCCTGACCACACCGCCTGAAACGCCCCCATCGGAGCCAGTGTTCTTGGGACCCCCACACTGCAATGTTGGCCCCGGATCCTCCCCTTGTTCTACCTTCCCCGTCTGACACCCTACCGCCTGAGACGCCCCCATCGGAGGTACTGCTCTTGGAACCTCCCACCCTGCAATTTGCAATTTTGGCCCCAGCCCCCCCCCTGATCCAGCCCCCCTGTCTGACCCCCCACCGCCTGAGAGCTCGATGTGGGACTCTTGTTCTCGGGACCCCCCTCCCTGCAATTTCGGCTCTGGCCCCTCCCCGGTCTAGCCCCCCGTCCGACACCCCACCGCTTGAGAGACCCACATTGGGAATACACTGTTTTGTTTTTAGGATCCCCCACCCTGCAATTTTGCTCCCTCCCTCCCCCCCACCGTTCGAGCCCCCCCGTCTGACATCCCACCGCCTGCGAAGCCCCCATCGAAACTACTGTTCTTCGACCCCCCCGCCCTGCAAGTTTGGCCCCGGCTCCACCCCGTTCTAGCCCCCCCCCCCGCCTGACACCCCACCGCCTCAGAGGCCCCGATCGAAATTACACCACCGCCTGAGAAGCCCGATGTGGGACTACTGTTCTTGGGCCCCCCCACCCTGCAATTTTAGCCCCGACCATCCTCCCGTTCTAGCTCCCCCGTCTGACACCCCACCGCCTGAGAGGCCCCCATCGGGACTACTGTTCTTGGGGCCCCCCTGCCCTGCAATTTTGGGTCCAGCCCCGTTTGGGCCAAACATTAGCTGTGGGACCGAGCGCTCCCCCACACTGCCAGCACTGAGTATGCTTACGCCAGTTCCATCGATAGCCTCAAGAAGCATGAGGGCATACCTGGAATCCTTTCTGAGTCTGAGCCTTCCCCGTCGCGGCCGAGGGGAGAGTAATCGTGGATGTGAAAAGCTGCTTGGGGTCGCGAGCCCCAGGCCAGTGAGTCTCAAGGTTTTTGTTCCTTCTTCACACGCCTCAACTGCTCGAGCGAGGTTGAAGTTCAGGAGAAGGCCCCTTGAGACAAAATGGCTACGGCCTCCGCTTCTTCCTCCTCCTCCTCCCTTTCCTCCTCCCTTTCCTCCTCCTCCTCCTCCTCCCTTTCCTCCTCCTCCTCCTCCTCCTCCTCCTCCTCCGCCTCCTCTTCCTCCTCCTCCGCCTCCTCCCTCCTCCTTCCTCCCTCCTCCCCCCTCCCTCCTCCTCCTCCTCTCCTCTCGTCTCCCTCCCCCTCCTCCCCCCCTCCTCCTCCCCCTCCTCCTCCTCGTCCTCGTCCTCCTCCTCCTCTCCTCCGTCTCCGTCTCCGCCTCCGCGTCCGCCTCCACCTCTGCCGCCTCCTCCTCCTCCTCCTCCTCCTCCTCCCTCCTCCGCCTCCTCCTCCTCCTCCGCCTCCTCCTCCTCCTCCCCCTCCTCCCCCTCCTCCTCCTCCTCCTCCTCCTCCTCCTCCTTTTCATTCCTTCTCCCTCTGGGAGGGGGGGGCCTTCCCGAACAGCAACTGCTGCATCTGCCTCGGGCTGTTCGGGTTGAGCTCCCTGGCGGCGCCATCCAGCTCCGCCGCGCCCGGGTACCTGCCCAGCGTCTGATGCTCACGCCGAGCTCCGCCCTCGGCCCCGCCTCCGCCGTCCACCTCCCCTCGCCATCGCTCGGACGTCCATTCCCGGTGCATTTGCCGCGTTCGTTCGTGCATGTTCCCGCAAAGTGGCGGCCCAACGGGCTCTCCGATGGTCTTCGCCGAGAAAAGTGCACACGCCCGAGCGATGCCAAGTCCACAGCCCTCCCTCCTCCCGCCTTCGCCTCCCCCTCCTCCCTGCTACAGCTACTCACGATGAGCACGACTTCTTTCACTTGAGATTATCCTGAAGTGGGCCGTGTCTCTCCGCCGCGCACTGTCTCTTGTGTCTACACAGCGGATCTCCGATGTTGATCTTCCTACGGTTGTCTTCCCATCCGATTGTCTTCGGTGTTTCGGGATGGCGCTCCCGCTACAGCCTGTGCCTCAATTTCGGATTGGCGTTTTGCTCCCGTCGTGCAGAATGGCACTCTCGCCCCCGTGTGGGCCACTGTTCTGGATCCCGGATGTCTCGCAAGCCCCACAGATCCCAACGGTCCCATGTGGCCCACAGGTGTCGCAGGTCGTCCCACAGGTACCACAAGTCTGAAAACTCCCACAGGTGTTGCACGTCTCGCATAACCCACAAGTCTCGCAGGTCCGACAAATCCCACTGGCACCGCAAATCGAACACTTCCCACTGACCTCCCCCAGGCCCCACAGGTCCCACTGGTCCCGTAGGCCCAAAAAGTCTCACAGCTACCACACGTGTTCTTACAAGCCCCGCGAGTGCCGCAAGACACAAATGTCCCCCAGGTCGCCCAAGTTCCACAATGCGGGCAGGTTCAACAGGTCCCAGAGGCCACAAAGGTCGCACAGGCTCCACAGATCGCATTAACCCCACAGCCCCCACAGGTCAAACGTGTTGCTGATAAGGCGTTATTCTCGCGTAATGAAGATCCAAGTCGGCTATGACACGATTCTGCGGATAGATGCAATTACATGATACGTACCCGCCCCCTTCTGCACGCGACGCACCTGTTTATGTAACGTCATTGTTCAACAGACAACATGTTGCGATATGCAGCGCTCGGGAAAGCGCGCGAAACACTGTTGGACCACGCACGTCGCAAACCTGCGCAACATATAATGGGGGTCAAAAGTGGAGGAGGGGGAGGATGAGAAGGAGGAGGAGGAGGAGAAAGAGGGCGGTTGGGAGCACATAACAATGGAGACGGAAGGCACAGACATTCTGGTGAGGGTGGCATCGCCATGCGCTACATGTGCGTTGTTTGCCAGCGCTGCCGTTCATACTCGGCTGGATCCCAACTCTGCTGGACCTCCCAGAAGTCCACCAACATGGCGACAATTGCGCCCAAAGAACCGACATGTCCTAGCTGGATCTGAGTGGCCCCCCACCGCGCTGGACCTCCCAAGAGCTGAAAAAACTGACGAGCCCAAGAACATGGAGACAATTGCGCACTTCACAACCACCCAGCGAACCGCGAGGTCTCGGCTGGATCTGCGTAGCCCCCCACCGGGCTGGACCTCACAGGAGCCCACCAACATGGCGACAATTGCGCACTTCGCAGCCACCCAAGGCGCAGTGAGGTCCCGGCTGGCCCTCCCAGGAGCTCACGAAAGTAGCGACAATTGCGCACTTTGCGACTTCCAAGCGAGCCGCGAGGTCTCGGCTGGAGCTGCGGAGCCCCCCACTGGGCTGGACCTCCCAAAAGCTCACGAAGCTGGCGACAATTGCGCAGTTCGCAGCCACCCAGAGAGCAGCGAGGTCCTGGCTGGATTTGCGTGGCCCCACACTCCGCTGGCCTTCCCAGGAGCCCACGAAAGTGGCGACACTTGTGCAGTTCGCAGCCTCCCAGGGGCAGTGCAGGAGGAGACAGGAGGGGGGAGGAGGACGAGGATAGGAGTATAGACCACAGAGCTCAAGTCAAAACGAGAATCCAACACGCAGCAGAGTTGGGACAAAACACAGCGCAGCGCAATGGAAGGGATGGGAGGAATGGATAGAATGTCAGATGTGGCGCAAGCGCACCTAGCTTGCCTCCCCCCCACTCCTCAGCCCTCCTCCTCCCTCCTCCCTCGTCGTCCCTCTTCTTCCTCCCTCTTCTTCCTTACATCCTCTTCCTCCCTCGTCGTCCCTCCTCTTCTTCCCTCTTCCACCTGGCCGCCCCACCTAGACACCCCACCTGTAGAACCTATGCGGCATTGGCGGGGGGAACGGCTACCCCGCGAACCGCGATGGACGCCTCCACCCATGGGGGCCAACAGACGGGTCGCTTCCGCACGATCCCGCGCCCCCAGACGCTCTTCACCCCTGTCCAGAGACAAAACTGGGAGATCCCACCTAGAAGCTCCACCTAGAGACCCCAAGACCCCACCTAGAGACCCTACCTAGAGACGCCATATAGAGACGCTCACCTTCGGCTAAGGCGAGGGTTCGCGAAATATCCTCGCCCTAACTGGAGATGGCGATGGACCAAACAACCGCGAGGAGGAGGAGGGGAGAGACGAGGAGGAGCAGGAGAAGGCGCTTTGAAGACGAAGGCGCACACACAAATACACACACACACACGCAACAGCACCGCAATAGCACAACAACCGAACAGCACCCACACCACCAATGCAGCAACACAGGACATGATCGTCACCAACGTCCTCGCTATCGACGTCAGCTTTACCATCGTCATCACCGTCCTCATCCTGTTCCGTATGGTCATAATCGTCATCATCATCGCCCCAACCATCTCAACGCTACAATCACCAGCAGCAACCTCATCAGCAACATCATCAACAACATCAACGACTAGGGCATCGCCATTACAACCGTCGTTACCGAACATATCGTCGTCATCAGCATCATAATCACCATCATCACAGTCATCATCATCATCCTCATCATCATCATCATCCTCATCATCATCACCACCATCGTGCTAGTCATTCTAGTCAGCCTCGTCATCGTCGTTATCGTCATCATCGCCATCAACCTAAACATCATCAACGTCATCATCATCATCATCATCATCAACATCGTCATCATCAGTATCGGAATCACCATCATCAGCATCATCAGCATCATCATCAGAGTCACACTCAGCACCACCACCACAATCATCACTACCACTTCCACTATCACCACCAGCATCACCAGCATCATCATCACCATCACCACCATCACGACCGCCACCATGATAAACATCATCATCGCCAGCATCATCACCACCACGTTCATTATCATCATCACCACCATCACCACAACCAGCATCATCATTACCATCATCGTTACGTTGTCGATCACCATCATAAGATGAGCCTCGTCATTATCCTAGTCATCCTCATCCTCCTCATCCTCATCATCCTTGTCATCCTCATCATCATTATCACCACACTCGTCATCAACATCATCGACTTTATCATCATCATCATCGTCATCATCATCATTACCATCAACCTCATCATCGCCATCTCCATCACCGTCACCATGATCACCATCACCATCACCGTCACCAACATCATCAACCTCATCATCCATATCATCATCACCACCACCATCGTCATCGTCATCAGCAGGAGTGCCATCATCATAACCAATATCGCCATCATCATCATCATCATCATCAGCATCATCATCATCATTACCACCATCACCAACGTCATCGGCATCGTCATCATCACAATCATCATCATGATCATCATCATCAACATCATCATAATCATCATCACCATCATCATCACCATGACCATCACCATCATCATCATCATCATCATCATCATCATCAACAACACCAACATCATCATCGTTTCTGGATGTGCTGGTGGGGATTCGCCGCTCATCAAGACTCAATCCTAGCTGAGGCCTAAGCCAAGACAAACCAAGACATGGAAAGACATCCAAGGCAGTCTAAGACACGTATCGCCTTCGTCACCTACCGCGGAGGTCGGAAGGTGTGGAAGGTAGAGGAGACAAGTGGTCAAAATGAGAACCCAACACACAGGAGAGTTGGGACACATCAGCGCAATGGAAGGGAGGGAAGGGAGGGATAGGACGTCGAAGGTGACGAGAACGCACCTAGCTTGCTTCTCCACCATTCCTCAGCCCTCCTCCTCCCTCTTCCCTCGTCGTCCATCCTCTTCTTCCCTCTTCCACCTGGCCGCCCCACCTAGAGACACCCCACCTAGAGACACCATGCGGCACTGGCGGGGGGAACGGCTGCCCCGCGAACCGCGATGGGGGCGCCCCCACCCAGGGGGGCCAACAGACGGGTCGCTTCCGCACGATCCCGCGGTTAGACACCCCGCTCAGAGACTTCGCCCAGAGACCCGAAAACCCATCCCTCCTCCCTCGTCGTCCCTCCCGCCTCGTCTTCCTTCCTCCCTCTTCTCCTTCCTCCCTCCTTCCCTTCTCCCTCCTTCCTCCCTCATCTGCCTTCCTCCCTCCTGCCCGCCCTCCTGCTGTGCACAGGCGGGCCGCCGCCGAGCCACCGGTGCTCCTCCCTCCACTGCCAGCGGGAGGAAGAGGGGAGGCGGGTTGGCAGAACGAGGGAGGGCGAAAGGCTGTGGACGAGCACCGTGTTTTGTCGATCCTGCCCCTCCCCCGCGCCTGCTCCAGTACTCCTTCTGGACCCAGTCCTGGAAAGAGGCGTGGTGCCGATCCAGATCGCGCCTGGCCCTGGCCTCCTGCCCCTGCAGCATCTCCACGTCCATGGGCATGCCCCGCGTCTCGATATCTGCCAGAACCTCAGCGAAAGGCCTCCAGAACTGTTGGTAGAAGTCGAGCATGGACCCGCGCTCGTTCCAGTGCATGCTCCGCAGGGCACCTGCTAAGTAGTCGTGCAGCTTCCAAGTCACTGCGGTGTCGAAGGTGGAATAATCAACCCACGCCTGGGAAGCCAGAAGCCGAGAAACCGAGGCCACGAGGGCGCCGAGACGGTTTCAACGGGTATCGGCTTAATGCTCAATTTCGAAGGGTGTGACAGCCATGTGCCAGCCACACCCATCGCGAGTTGCCGATACTGGTCTCCACGCGCCACTCACCCATCACGACGCCAAAGCCACACAATGCATCAATGCCACAGTGATCGTGCGCTTAGCCGTCATGTGACCAGCACGATGCCGACAGCGACAAGATGACCATGATCACCACAATGGCAACGCTTGCTTTTCCGAGGTGTTGGGGATTATAGGGGGTACTGTTTTCCCTTGGAGGCACTGCTTCTCATACCCACAATGCATGTATCATCTCTGTGCCTGTGAAAACACCACAGGCCGTGTGAGCACCACATTGCTTGGAGACACCTATTTGCTTCTGACGGCCGCTACACCGACGCAACTGTGGGAAGACCGCGTCCTCCCGCCCTGCCTCTGCCTCTCAGGCCTGCAGTCCTTCGTCTCGTGCTCCTCCTTTCCATCCTCCTCCTACTGCACCGCCACCACCACCATCCCTGCAAACCGAACCATATTGACTGGCTCAACCTCCCGTGTTGACTTCTTACCTACTTCGGCACCAACTGATACTGTATGCTCTTCTGTGGTCGTCAATGCACAAACGAATTTGGTTTATGTACCACCCAACTCGATTAAGTCTCTTGACATTACCGGCCCCAACTTTGAACGAGCCCATGCGCCAGCCACAACGAGAACGATGCCTAAGCCGACACGCTCGCTGGCTCGCTCGGAGATTCTGCGTATAAGGGGGCACGTGGCGGCCATGGGACTGGGCTCTCCCTCCAACCGGTAACGCCCACCATCGCACGGCAACGCCCCCCATCGCCCGGAAGGGAAAACACAGACAGGGAGACCCGCGGGAGAGGCGAGGAGGCAAAGGCGTCGAGAAGCGGCCCGAACATGGTGGGAAGCGTGTGCAGATCTGACTCGCCGCGGCGGCCTCCCTCACACCAGGCTTGAGGCTCAGCTGCAGGGCCTCCGCGGACGCCAGCTCGTGCTTGGACATCAGGTCCTTGCCGGAGGGAGCAGTGCACTTGCGCCGGCCCCGCCCGGGCCCATGCCGGGCCCCAGATCGGCGCATCTGCCTCCCTGGCGAAGCCAGGAATGCGCATGCACATCTATCCTGGGCTCAGGATGGGCCCGGCCAGCATGCGCATTGTTACCGTTCTTCGTGCCTTCAGCGGCGTCTTGCGCCACGCCTCGCCCAGGAGCTCGGCGCCCAGCTTCTCCAGAGAGTAGGACTGGCGGTCGGAGTGCTCCAGGCGCGCCATGTGCATGGTATCCGCGGCGAAGCCTGCGACACAGATGCCCTCGTTCGCGAAGACTGCACGGTCGAACAAGAAATTGTGAAACACCTTCGGAATGTTCGGATCCTCCAGATATTCTCGGAAGAGCCCGACCAGGTGGCGATTGTTCCCATCACCATCCAGATTGTCAACCCACAAACGAGGCCCATTGCCAAAATCCACATCGCCACCGCAATAGATGGAAAAACATGTCACTTCAGCGTTCCTGTACGGCGACATCTCTGGACTCCAACCTCTCGTCTCTGTGTCGATGGCGTGGAATTTGTCTGCAAGCGAGCGCAATTTCTCCACGGCTGCGGCTGCCTCCCCTGCCGTGGACACCACGGTCGTGCCCTCGGTGCCGAGGACGGACGCGGAGGCCTCCGAGGCGTTCGCCTCCTGCTCGGGCTCCGCGTGTGGAGAAACAGCACGACATCCGGGGGAGGGGGCAGAGCGGTCCTCCGCCGCGAGGCGGGCGCGTGGTGCAGCGATGGGGCACTCCTGACGCAGCCGCGGGGGATAAGCCGAGGGGTGTGCGCGGGGGAGGGAGGCGGGGGAGGATGAGGGAGAGCACATCAGAGCGATGGGGCCGAACGGTCATTCGCTGCCCCTGGGCGCGTGGCTGCAGTGGGGTTCCGCGTGCGGGTTGTTGCTGCTGCGTCGGGTTCCCACGTCTACAAACCAAACGAAGATTGCTGATCCCCCCGGTGCCCACTGCGTTTTTTTTCCAACTGAAGTGATTATCCCAGGGCTCGCACCCTGCTGTTTACAACAAAGCAAAATTCGGCTCATACCGGCTTGCTGGGTCCCGAACGACCACATCAACGGCTCACGCCTGACACTTCCTCACAATAAATTCAGACTCGCGATCTCGCGTGGGACTTCTTCATAATTGATGCAAAAATGCGCTACCGCGTGGTACTTCATCGCATTTGTGTCAGGTGCCGCGCTCTCGGTGCCCAGGAATCATGCTCCCGCTTTGGCCTTTCTCGCGATTTGCTTGGGAATCGCGCTATCGCTCGAGACTTCCCTGCGATTCCTGCAGGACCAACGCATCAACCCGCCTGCTCCATCCGGCCGCCTGGGCCGCCTTCCCGACCCTCCCTTTAGGGTCTACCCGCCGGATCTGCCCGTCTGGTTCACTGCCACGCTTCCTGCTCCTAGCCCCCCGCTCCCCTCCTGCTAATCTCTCTGGAGCTTCATCCTTGTCCTTGTCCCCTGTCCCTTCCTTCCATCCGTCCACTCCTGTTGTTTCCGGGGCTGCGCCGAACACGCGTGGCAAGTAAGGAAGATGTGCCCCGTTATCCCCAACTGCGGGGTGCTGCGTACACTTTGGAGCTCCGCGCGGACTCCTTGGATCGGCGCCGGACCCCATCTCGCGCCAGGAGCGGCGCCGGAGGCCCTCTCAGGGACCAGGGAGCTCCAGCGCCGAGCCGAGAAACCCGCGCGGACCTCCAACAATTTGTGCTTGTTTCGGGGGCGCGCAAGCATGGATGGATTAGCGATCCATGGATTTGGCGCGCGGTCGCCAAATCCATGGATCGGGGGACATGCCCTCCCCAAAATGCGGCTGGTGGCGCCTCGTTCGGCGGCGGCAATCAGCGATTTCCGATGGAAACGGGGCCCGTCGCTAATCCACGCCCCCTTAATCCATGTTTGCGATCGCCTGACTGTTCCCCGAACAGGATCTCTGCGTCCCAGGAGATGTCTTTTACGTTTTCATCTTTCGGATATAACCTGCCCAGGTTATCAGGATGGGGGCGGAAGGTGCCAGCTGATAACCGAACTTTCGGGCAGCCACGCGCATGCCCGCGCGCACCAGCACTCGTACCCCCTTCTGACATGCACACGCGACAAGGTCACGTTGTCCAGGGGTGGGTGGTGGGAGGGGGGCCCGATAACCTGGAGTATGACCAGACCCTGCACGAACAATATTCGGGGATCTACTGACCTGTGTCAATGCAAACCTGGGACAGTCAGGCTTTGCAGGATCCAGCAAAATCCTGCAGGAAGCTGCGCCCAAACCCGGGTCAGTGCACCCCTGGGCCTGCAGAATCCTGCAAGATCTGGAGCTCTGGCTGACTCCCGTTTGCTCTGATCTCCGTTTCTTGAGCCCAAGGGCCTTGCCCAATGACCAAATCTTCATCCTGAATCGTTTTCTGACATTTCCCCGGCCCGTGGAGGGAGAACCCCGAGAGCTCGAAAACGGCGAAAGTCCCCGGGACCCATTTCCCTCAGGACCCGTTCCCTGAGATCCGACACCGCGAACAAAAATTCAACATCGCAACAAACACGACTGGAGCCCCGGACTATTTTTTCGCGTCATCCTTCGAGCTGGATCGATCTCTGAGGGTCCTGGGGCACGAAACGGAGCGAAAATGCAACGCCAGGATCTCAGGGCTTCCCCCATGGCTAGGAGAAATCAATATTGCATGAACACAACCTTTTGGCGCTCCGCACGGGTTTCTTGGATCTGCGCTGACCCGGGTATGGATTGACCCGGGTCAGAAGATCCATTCGAAGACCGTCCTCTCCGTTCGAAGAGAAAAAAACGCCATAAACGTAGAAACATAAACTTTTTGTGTTCCGTGCGATGTCTGGGATCGGCGCATGGCCCCCCCCAGCGGCGCCTCCGGCGCCGCCCCTGGCGCGCGGAACTCGATCCTGCAGGATCCTGCACCCAACCCCGGACCAATGCGACCCTGGCCATGCAGCATCCTGCAGGATCCTGCACCCAAGCCCGGGCCAATGCGACCCTGGCCCTGCAGCATCCTGCAGGATCTGGCGCCCTGGCTGACCCCCGCTTGCATCGACCCCCCGTCTCAAGTCTCCTCCTCCTCCTCCTCTTCCTTCTCCTCCTCCTCCTCCTCCTCCTCCTCCTCCTCCTCCTCGTCCATAGCCATTTTGGCTCAAGGTTTTGAGTTCCCCTGTGGAACAAGTGGATACCGCTAGTCCGCGGCTAGACTTCCGAGGTTTCATCGCACCGCTGCGTGAGTCGCCAGACGACGCAGCACTCTTTCTCTTTCGAGCACCTTGTCCTCTGTCCTGGGTGCTTGTTCGATGGGAGCGGGCTCCAATCAGGTCAGTCGTCACGCCCAGCGGCGTCGAGCGCAGGCAGAAGATTGGTGTTGCCGTTACTGCACACATCCGACTTCAGGAGCGCCATGGTGGAATCGTGCCACGTTGCAGCAATGTGCGAAGTGTGGAGTTGCTAAAGCCACGGCCTTTCTCAAGCCCAAGCCTAATGCAGTTCCGCCTTCCAAGTCCAAAGGTCAAGGCAAAGGAGCCGTCCCGCCATGGCACGTCCATCAGATGGAGCTGTTGCAGAAGCAACTGGAGGCCGCCAGCGCCAAGTTGGAGGGCCACGGCCAGGACGCCATGGCAGTGGATGAAGGCGGCCATTCAGAAGCTACGGGAGTCCAGAAGAAAGCCAGGCTGGAGGAGATCGAGGCGTCTCTTCGGGCCATCGCTGGGCTCAAAGGCAAGGATTTCGCGTCGGCGCGCACGGCACTCGAGGAGGAGCGGCGCCGATTGCGAGGTGAACTTGAAGAGTCAAAACCTGTCCCTGCTCGACTCCGCTCGCTGGCATTCCAGTCCAGCAAGCTCCAGCAGCGGAAGGTCAAGCATGGCGAAGCTTTGTCTGCGGCCAAGGAAGCTCTGCTCAAGGCCCAGCAGGCAATCGATGAGGAGGAGGCTAAGATCGCGGACATCGAGACGCAGCTGCTGGAGATCAGTACAGAGCAGACCTGTCTGTCTGCGCAGGTGCCGAGAGCCAGCCCAGCGAAGGAGGGCGACAACCAAGCGGACATGGTCGAGTCGCTCGGTCTCACGGTCGAGAAGCTTGGTACCATCCTGGAACAGCTTGGTGGCAGTGGACAGATGGCCAGCAAGCTTGGTGAGATCCTCACCGGGGTGCGTGACTTTGAAGCTACACAGAAGCGATTGGCTGAGGAGGCCAAGCTCAAGAAGGCTCAGGCGACGCAGTCAGAACAGGCCCAGCAAAACGGTGTCAAAGCCGAGTCGGGGCCCGACTTCCCCAACGTGGACGAGGCCGACATCGATGAGATGCTCGAGTTCTTGCAGGCGTCTGGGGTTAACGTGCCAGAGAAAGAAGAAGATGTTCGCGGGCAGGTTCGCAAGATGTACGAGGGCGTCGGTAAGTGGCGGATGCAGAAGAAGGCAAAGACGAGCTGAGTCAAGCTCATGGCCGCCTTGTGGGAGCCACGACCCCCTCCGCCAGCGCGATGACTCTCCGTGCAGGTCCCCTGAGGTTGATGGCAGGTATGGTTGTGGCTCTCACACATGCACGATGATTTCGGCTACCTCTTGTACGTCGATTGCTAGGACTGGGAGGATTGCCAGGCCCGTTCGGGTATCAGCTGGAGTGCCTGGAGGATCCTGGTGTTGACATGGCCGTTGTGAAGTTCGGGCGCAGTGGCATCTACGACAGGGACGGTGGCAGGCAGCCTTCATGCCAACCCGCTGTTCAAAGCCAAGGGCGCTGACGGCGCCGTGCCTCTCCAACTGTCTCACTGCCACTCCAGGAGTGGAGCAGTTGGGAGTGCCGCGCCTGCGGGCAGCCGCACTCGTGGGGCCTCCGTGAGGAGGGTGGCAGCCCCCACTGCGACGACGCCTGGCTGCTCGCCGCCATCGGCGGCCGCTGGGGCAGTCGGGGGTGCCGCGCCTCAGGGCAGCCGCACTCGCAGGGCCTCCGCGAGGAGGGCGGTCGTTGCCCCTGCTGCGTCGGGAGAGGCCGCCACTGGAGCAGCGGCCGCGTCTGGCGACAACGATGACAAGGCTGAGGACAAGGCTGGTCACATCAAAGGACTGGTCTGTGCCCTGAATGCCTCGGAGGAGAAGCAGATGCTCGGAGTCCTCAACAAGTGCACACACGTGGTGGTCGCCATCCAGGAACATCATGCCCCCCCAGACAGGCTGGCGGATGTTCAACACGCGGCGCTGGACATGGGCTGGAAAGGAGTGTGGGCCGCTGCGAAGCCTTCGGGGCAAGGCGAGGGCAATCAGAGTGGCTTGGCCATTCTGGCCCCAGCGCGCGTGCCAATCACTCAGCCTCCTTTTCTGCCTGCCCACAGTTTTGCAGACGGCCGAGCTGTCGCAGGCCACGTGCACTGGGGGGGGCCTGGTTGCCTCATTTATATCAGCCTGCACTTGTACGTAAACGAAGGCTGGTCATATCGGAAGGTCAATATATTTCAAGAGCTCTGATAGTTTCTCGCAAAATTGAATCATGCAGGTCAATATTGGGTTGTAGGCGGAGATTTTAACATGGAGGTCCAAGAACTTGCAGACGCCGAGTGGATCCAGGCCTTAGGAGGGGTCATTAAGCCGACGGCTGCCACTACTTGTCGGCAATCCATCCCTGGGTCCAGGATCGACTATTGTTTTGGCGTCGCAAAATATGATGGCCCGCGCGGGCCAGGCTGCGGTTCAGGAAAACGCGGATACCTTTCCTCACCTCCCTGTCTGTATGAGCATGACGGGCAAGGATCAGCCTCTCTGGGCTCGCGAGCTTTGCGGCCCAAAGTCTGCCCCGAGAGTGCCGAAAGTAGGCTGCTCTAGGTTTCCTCTTCGTTGGGGCGGGGTGGGGGCTTTGGCGGGGAGAGCGGTTGACCACTCTTCGCTGCAGGTCGCCTGGGACGCAGTGCTGCCCCAGGTGGAGCTCGAGCTGATAGGGCGGCATGACATTGTTGACCAGGCGGCAGACCAGTATGTCGGTAGAGCTGGACCTGTGGAGTTTGCCAAAACCAAAGTGCAATGGAAACCGCCCCTGCAAAGGACCTATGCTAGTGCAACAGAGAAGGCCTGGAGTGTGGCGGCCAGATGGGCCCGACACCTCAGACGCTCCAAGGAGGCGTTAGCCAATGTAGTCACCTTGTTGCGACGCCTGTGCGAGTGCGGAGTAGCCTCGGACGCGCTCTATAGCAAGGCTGCTAAGATGGTCCTGGAGCTCACGCGTTTCACTGATAAAACCTGCAAAGCTTCGGAGGTCCACGTTCTCCCCAGGGCCGAGCAAGAACTTTGCGCAGCTGGTTTGGAGTCTCTGGTCAAACCTGACTTTGATGAGCTGACACGCTCGATTATAAACGCTGCAGAAGGCCAACCTGAGCAGCAGGCTGATGCTGCCGCCGCCGCTTGGAATAAGTGGGCTGCAGCTTCATTTAAAGGTGGCGCGCGCTTCGCGCACCGACATGCTCGAGGCCGTGCGTTGCAGGAGGTATGCACAGCCCAAAGCCAACATGCTCGCCAAAACAGAAGCTCAACCGCATCATCTGGCGGACAGAGCTATGCGTGAGTGGGAGGGCATTTGGGATGAGCACGGGGTTGAGGCCCCTGAGCGCCCTGCTGATTTTGACTCGTGGGAGCCCCTTCCCCCCATTTCGGTTCAGATGATCAGAGATGCCCTCCTTAGGTCCCCGTGGACTACGGGAATCGGCCAATTTGTGTTCTCACCTCGCAGCTTGCTCTTTGTAAGCGATGCTGGTTTGGCGTGCCTCGGTCACCGGTGTATGCGTTGCGAAGATTTAGGGCAGTGGCCGTCTGATCGATTGCTGACGCAATTAGTCCGACTCCCCAAACCAACAAGTGGATGTCGGTTGATTGCGTTGATCTAGACTTTGCTTAGAGTATGGGGTTGGATTCGCAGAAGTGCGGCCACTGAATGGGAATGTGCGCACCCGCTCGGCAGCGTCTGGGGAGTAGGCGAAGGGCGATCCTCCTCAGACAGTGCATTCTCGTTGAATTTAGATGCTGAGATTGCTCACGAGAATGGAGAAGATAGCTTGACAGTTTTCGCCGATATGCAGAAATGCGATGAAATGGTCATTCTATACAAGCTAGAGGAAGCTAGAGCTGTGCAGTTTCCTATTCGATTGGCCTGGATGGCCATTCAATCCAACCTCCAACCTCGCTCTCTCCGCGCCGTCGCTAGCCTCTCCTTCCCCGTCTCCTCTAACCAGGGAGTCCTAGCAGGTTGTTCCCTGGCCACTACCATGTTGCAGGTATTGCTGTACCGTAGCTTAGTAGCAGTGCAGCAGCTGTGCCCCAAATGAAACTCCACGTGATTTGATCGATGATGTGAGCTTTCATTGGTCGGGGGGACGGGCGGGTGGTGCTTCGAGTGGGAGGGGTGAAGATGCTCGTGAACTTGCCAGGACGGTTCGCACGTTCGGAGAGGATGCGCGGCCGCTAGGTCTGATAATGCAGCCTGATAAGAGCGGATGTGTTGCAAACGCGCGGTGTGGTCGCGATAGATCTGCCAAGCTCGCTGCCAGCCAGGGCCTTCGATTTAAGAGAGCGATGCGCAACTTAGGACACGAGGTGCACGGCACACGCGTCCTCTGTATCCAGGAGAAGGCTCGTCTCAAAACCATGCAATCCACAAAGCGCTGGCTTATGGGGCTGAAGCGCGCTGCTGGACAGGCGGCGCGTGCGTGATGGAGAACGGGGCTCCTCCCAGCTGCTGGCCACGGTGCGGGTGTCTCGAGGATTTCGGACGTGGGTATACGAGAGCTCCGTACGTTTGCTGGAACTCTTGTGGGCGCTAAGCCTAAGTCGAGCCTCGCGCTGTATTTAGCCACGCAATCGGACCCGAAGTTTGACCCAATCTACGATGCGACCACCAGCACTGTTATAAGAACTTCTGCCTTTATATGGCAGAACAAAATGTCCTTTTCACGACTGCACACCGCCTGGAGCAAACTCCAGGAGCGCCTGGATAATCGCGTCTCTTGGGGCTGGGCGCGGGGTCCGATCTCGTCGGTCTGGCTGTCTTTGCTCCGGGTGGGGTGGTCGATGCTGGCGCCCGCTGTCTTGCGATCAGACAGTGGGCATGCCATTGATTTCAGGGGCGTATGCCCATGTGACGTCAAGTTGATGTTGGAGGCGGGCATGCGACGCTGGCAAGAATCTAGAATCCTTGCCCACTTCCCTGACAGTGTGTCAGAATCTTGCTGGCTCCGAGCGATGCGGAATTCGGTTTTGAAGATAAAAAAAATTCGAGCAGGAGCGGGCCCTAGGGTTCCTTGCGCCTCAGGCGTTTGGACGCCTGTCAGGTTGCACTCTATTGACCTCCGTAAGGACCCGTTGTGCTCTATGCGTCGCCAGGTTCCAGGCACTGAGGGCCACCAGTGGTTTGGATGTGCGGAGGCTCTTAAGGTTCCTGAGGGCGAGAGGCCCCCTGGCGATGTCTTGGAACATAGGCAGGGCATGATCGAAGGGCTTGGTCAGCTGGGTCTTGATCTGTTTTATATGTGCTATGGGCTGCCGCCCGCTCCGCCCTGCCCTGAGCCCCCTCCTGCTACGCTGCCTGTGTATGGGTGGGGGGATTGGCGTGGTGAGTGGGGGTCTCGGGTGTACACTGACGGGTCGGGCCTGGCCTCCTCGCATCTAGGCCTGACCAGATGTGGATGGTCAGCGATCGAACTCGACGCTTCAGGCATATCATGCGTGCTGTCTACGGTGGCCTGCTAGGTGCATGTCAAACGGTTCCGAGAGCGGGATATCATGCATCCCTCGCGGCCGTCAAATATGCAGGAGTGGACACAACCATTGTGTCTGATCATCTCTCCCTGGTGCGAGCTGGAAACAAGTGGGGCTCCGTGACGAGTCGACGCGGTCTCGTCATGCCTCGGTTTTGCGCTCCTTGCATTCCTTGCGCGCTGACCAAGGGTTTGACTCCGAGCCGCCCCGTTTCTCTTGGGTACCAGCGCGCCGTTTTCAGTAAGTTTTAGCAACGATCACTCTGCATAACCTCTCGATTTTATTGGCGACGATTGGGCTGACTACTTCGCCAAAAAGGAGCTAGGCCGATTGCAGTTGCCAAAATACTTGAGGATAACTACAGCGGCAGGCTCCTACAGGCGAGCAAGGACGCTGAGGTTTTTGTTCGTGGATGGCCCGAACTGTTGCGAGGAGGGTTGGTGAGCTCCAGCCGAAGGCAAATAACCCTGAGGCCCCGAGAGCTCCCCCTCCTGTACCTATTTGGGCCATCGAGGCGCATGATTTCTTGGTCTGCGATAGGCTCAATGAATTCAGGTGCCAAGTCTGTAATCACTGGTCTCGCACTGCTGGCTCGTTCAAAGAACTGCGAGGCCGACCATGCGAACCCACCCCCAGAGAGAGAGCCGCCGCGCTCAGGTTCTTCTCTTGCACCCCCGAAGCGTATCGGCCGCCTTCGGAGGCCGTGGTCCAGGCTCTTCTCGCTGCTGGAGGCCCAGCCCCTGGCCATGCTGGGCCCGGCCCGAGGCCAGGCGCAGGGACGCCGCAGCCGCCAAGGGGGAGGGGGGGGTCGTCGTCGTCGCTGTGGACGGAGGTGGGGATGATCCTGAGATTTCGATTTTGAAGAGGCTCGGGCACGCAGCCGAGAGGTTCGGGCCCCACCTCATTTGTCTTGCGTGCGGGGTTTATTCCATAAGCCAGGGTCGAAACAGGAAGTTTGATAAAATCTGTGTTGGTGCTAGTGAAATGCCATCGACCCGTGCCAATCAAGAGCAGGTTGTTGCACGTTTGATGAGGCACATGCACCCTCGGTCTGCTAAACCCTTGCCAGATTGAGCCCGTGCCGTATAAGCTCCACACTTGGTTTCAAGAATTGTCGGGGCTGTCACGGCACGGATGAAGTGCGCGTTGCACCGTCTATCGCAGCGCAGTTTATGTTTTCCCTCTGCTGAGAGGCGTTTGGGCACCAGACGCTTCCTTCATCGCTCGGGACCTCCTCCTCGTCCTCCTCCTCCTCCTCCTCCTCCTCCTCCTCCTCCTCCTCCTCCTCCTCCTCCTCCCCCTCCTCCTCCTCTTCAGGGCTCCCGGGGTATCCTGACGGCGCGTCTGCCGGCCGCCCTCTGGCTCCGCCTCCCCGCTCTGCCGGCGCCGCGGCGCCCTCGAGCTGCGGGCCCTCGTCGCCCTCGTCGGCTCCGCTGGCGGAGCTGGCTCCGCCGCCTGCGGCGCCTCGGGGGAGGAGGGGGGGGGAGGAGGAGGGTTAGCTGGATTAGCTGCATGCGGACCACTGTCCTCGGCCCCAGAGGGCCTTGAAAACGGAGGTCTGAATCCCTCCTGCTCCTCCATAGCCTGTCCCTCCCAGGCGGGCCGCGGGGGTCCTCGCCCGCTCGGAGGAGGGGGAGGAGGAGGAGGAGGAGGAGGAGGAGGAGGAGGAGGAGGAGGGCGAGGAGGAGGGGTAGGAGGAGGGGGAGGATGGGGAGGAGGAGGAGGGAGAGCAGGAGGAGGAAAAGGCGCCGATCGCGGCCCTTTTTGCCGTTGCTCGGACAATAGGAACAACCTGTTGCGCGCTGAACTGGTGCCAAAAAATTGCCGACTTGGGCGAGGCAGCAAACGACTTACAGGCCGAGGACGGGTGCAGAAAGAGAGAGGCAGAGCGACAAGCATAGAATAGTGGCCCTCGAGGGCGAGAGTAACCCAGTCCGCGGCGCCTGGAGAGGAGGAGATACCAAACACTGACGTAGAACCAACGATCGCGGGCCTCCTCCTCCTCCTGGCGCACTGCGGGCGGGCGCGGGCCTCTCAGGACGAGGAGGAGTTCCTGATCTGACTGGCGGCGAGCGAGGCGGAGGTGAACAGGAGAGGGCCCTCTCAGAAGACAAGGGGGGCTTCCGAGCCTTCTGAGAAGGCCGTCTCCTTCTTGCTTCCCCCTGGGCTCGCCGCCCTGGCGCACTGCGGGCGGGCGCGGGTCTCAGGACGAAAATGATATCAGAATAAGATTGGCTCAGGACGCGTCGCAACATTTTGAGAAAGTACCCAGCGGCCCTCGTGTCCGCAGCCCGTGGTGGAACGGTCGGAGGCATGGGAAACCTCGGAGCCTTGGAAGTTCGGGAATGCACCATTCTCATGACCTCTGGCTCCTCTGACCCTCCGCGGAACACCACCCGCGCCGACCGCGGGCGCCCGCCGCAGACGCCCCAATCAGATTGCTCGTGCCTGCGACACGGGGCCCCACTTGCTCACACACGCACACACACACACACGAATGGAAAGGAACCCGGGCGCACCGTGTGGCATTATGCTTGGTACTGCTTGGGGCACCCGGGGGCGGGGAACCCGAGGACCCCAGGGAACCCGAGGACCCTGGGGAAACCGAGGAACTGACAAGAGAAGGCACCACAGACGGGGACCCCTCCGAGGAACCCAAGGAGCCCGAGGAACCTCCGAGGAAAGGGCAACGTGAAAGTAGGAGGCGCCAGCCTTTATCCAAGGATGTATCCCTTAGGCAAGCGTACTTGGGGAACAAGTCGAACGCCTGCGCGCGCAAGCAAAAACAATACAGCTGCGCGCGAGCACGCGTGCACCCTGCCGGCCAGGGAAGGATGGGGAAGGTCGACTCGGAGGCACATCGGAACGCTCGCCATCGTTCGGAGGTTCATTCCCTGTACATGTTCGATGTCTTGCGTGCAGTATTCGGCCTCACCTGAGGAACGATACGTAAGGAACGAAGCCCCTCTTGTTCCAAGTAAGTCTACGAAATCCGAAGGAACACCAGGGGGGCTCGCCGCCACCAAGGTAGCGGAACGCATGCAAACCAAAGGAACGACCGAGCCCCTTTTGAAAAGTAAGTGTTCCTTATTCAAGCCAGATCCTGTATTTGTTTGTTGGGGCTCGATGATCCAGGATGATCCTCACCAAAAAATGCTCACGTCCGAACGATGCCAAAAGAGAAGGGTGGGAAAGTTGGGGGGAGTGCCTACACGTTGCGCCGCGCACGTGCAGCTGAGTGCGCACTAAGCCAGCTGAAGGCGCGCCACCCCGCCAACCATCCTCTCCCTCCTCCTCCTCATCCTCCTCCTCCTCCTCCTCCTCCTCCATGACTTCTCTTACGTACGGCTTAAGGCACGACTGCACCAACGGATCACATCGATGCACGTTGAAGGTTCCGTGGCCCTTGGCATGTACGATGGGAGGAGAGGGAGAAGTCGAGATGAGGATGGAAGACGGATGAGGAGAGAGGAGGATCAGTAGAGGCCTCCTACATGGGGTCCGAGTAGATGGGGTCGGAGGATCACGCCGCATCTCCGATGCATCGGCGATGCAATGGCGACGTCGGTGGTGCGGCGGTGCATCGGCGCCGTCCGCGTGGAGAAAGCAGGGCTCCTCATCGAGCCGCATCGCCGATGCATCGGCGATGCGGCACGATCCTCCCCCGACCTGACAGGCCTATAGAATGAGGGCCGGAGAGATCGCCCAGGTAGTGGGATCGCCCAGGTAGTGCTGACTGCTCGAGGGGACCCCTATCACAGTCCTCAGTCCTGCAAGAAAGGAGGTGGGATGTGGACGGAGGGGGGCGAGGATGAAGGAGGGAGAATGAGGGAGGTCCCGTGGCCTCTGGTATGTGCGATGGGAGGAGGGAGATGCAGTAGAGACGAGGAAGGAGGGATGATAAAAGTACGAGAACCGGAAGAAACATAAACTGTTGGCGGACTTCTTGGACTGCGCTGGAAACCCCTCCTTGGCGCGCTGCGCGGGCCAAGGGCGGCACCGGGGGCGACGCCGGGAGGGCCCAGCACCGATCCAAGAAATCCGCGTGGAGCGCAAACGGTTTCTGTTTATGGCGTTTTCCTTCTTCGGGATGAGGATGGGGGAGGAGGAGGAGGAGGAGGAGGAGGAGGAGGAGGAGGAGGAGGAGGAAGAGGAGCAGGAGGAGGAGGAGGAGGAGGAGGAGGAGGAGGAGGGAGGAGGAGGAGGAGGAGGAGGAGGAGGAGGGAGGAGGGGGAGGAGGAGCACCAGGAGGGAGGAGGCCAGGAACATTCGACACCCACGGCGTCGGCCTGCGCCTGCAGGCGCGCCACCAGCTCGGCCTTCCTGCCAGACACCCGAAGGCCCGCGTCCCTCAGTAGGGCCTTTAGCTGGACCACGGTGAGCATCTCGAGGTCCTCTCGGGGGAGGGATCCTCTTCCTCATCCTCCTCTTCCTCTCCCTATTCCTCTTGCTCCTCCTCTGCCTCCTCCTCCTGATCCTCCTCAGTCTCTTTCTCCGTCTCTTCCTCCGTACCCTTCTCGTCTGATCACTGTTCTTCGGAGGAAGCACAATAACAATGACACGCTGGTCGAACGACCCCCATCAAAGTGTTGCGATGATGTACATCATATGTGTTCCAAGATCGCATGCGTAACACGCACGCACGGAAAAGGCGACGCGCGTGTCACGGATACCCTCTTCTCCCTCCCGGATTACTCGCCAACCCCTCTCACGATCCGGGATCGAAGTAACTTTTACTTTTGGATGAGAGCCCTTGATGTCCGGTGGGGGCGAGGGGGGAGATGCCGGCCGTCGATAACTTACCCTTTTCGCTTTGGCCAACCACACATGTGCACGTTCGCAACAACACTACGAACGTACCCCCGTCGGACCTGCGCAACTGGCAAGGTCAGGTTACCTGGAGGGAAGTGGCAATGCGGGCGGGCTTGATGTATCGCCGGACCCTGACAACACATAATCTCATGGCACGGCGACGACAAGGAGGAGGGATGATGACGAGGTAACCGAAGACGAGGAAGAGCAAATGCTCCGCCGCCCCCACGCCGCGGTCCAGAAGGCCAGGGCATGCGGCACGTTCAAGTCACGAGGACGTCGGCGTTGGTTTCTGATGCTTCATGTATCGTTCCGCCCTGAACGATCGCCGCTGTCCGACATCGGGGAGCGTCCAATACTGGCCGAGTCCATGCAACTGGCGAAACTCAACCTTGAAAGCCTGCGCTGGCGTCGCCGCCGCGTCAAGGCGGTGTGGACCTGCCATGCGCACGGATTCTCCCAAGCGTCCAACCATGAGAAGAAGAACTGCAATCAAACCTAAACCAACAGAACATCTTTCAAGAGCATGAGACCCTCCGCCGGCCAAAATGCAGAGCATTCGAGGGTATCCAACACACAGAGGGTATCCTCAGCTCGGTCCGACTGTATCACTATCTTCTGATCCCGACAGCTGGAAAATGTATACCCCCCACGTGGCGCCGTAGGGAGTCAACCTGTGCAGCCGCCCAGGGGGCTTGCGTCCCCGACGGCGGAGCAATGCATCTTACACCGTTCTGCGCCCCCTAATGGGACGCACAGGGACATACTAGTACTATATGTTTTCCTCGGAGGCGCGCGTCCGACCCGAACATATAGGATACCCATCTTGCAGTACATCGTTTCCCGAGCGGTGTGGCCAGCATGCGTCCGCCACGACGCATACACTAGAAGATTTCTCGGTGCGCGCGTCGCCCCTGGGGGGGGGCGACGTACATATAGTAATTGAATATGTTGGGGTGACGCCGGCCTAAAGCCAGAGGAGGAGGAGGAGGAGGAGGAGGAGGAGGAGGAGGAGGAGGAGGAGGAGCTGTTGGACCCCCGCCGACCCCCTGCCGAGGGCGCCCATGCCGACAGCCAGAGCACACCGTGGCGAACACACGGGCCACCCAAACGCCGTGCGGGCACAACGGGAAACGATGCTCCCTGACTTCGGGCACGGCGGGGAGCGCTGCTCCTCGAGTCGTTCCTGCCGGGGTCGCCGTTTGCAGCCGTTTTCGGCCGCTTGCGGATGCTGCTGCTCGGTGCCGAGTGCTGCTGCGCGATGCTGGGAATCGCTGCGCTTTGCTGCTTCACAACCGCCGTGTGAATCACAATACCACCAGCCCTTTAGGGCGTCGGTGATCTAGGGCTGCTCCTCTTCCAACCCCATTCTTCCCCTTCGGGGCGATGGCCCAAGGCGGCTCCAAGAGCGCCTCGGATAGCCCAAGATGAGCTCCAAGATGGCTCAAGATAGCCTAAGATGCCTCAAGATGGCTCCGAAGATGCTCCTAACGGCCCCTTTCCAGACGGCTCCAAGAGTCCTCCGAGACCTCCAAGGCGGCCTCCCAAAGGCCAAAATCCTTCCAAAACCTCAGGAACATCAATGTGTTGTTCCATCGTCGCCTTCTCGCGTCCGATAGCCTTCCAAGGCCTCAAGATGGCTCCAAGATGGCCCAAGGGGGCCCCAAGAGAGGCTCGAGAGAGCCCCAGGACGGCCCCAAGCGCGCCCCAAGGACGCTCCAAGAGGGGTCCAGGAGGCGATCCTTGGGGCTCCGTAGGGGCAGCGCTAATTGTGGAACCCATCTTTTTGGATCGATGTCCTCTAAGATGGCTCCAAGAGCATCCCCAAGAGGCCCCCAAGAGCGCCCCAAGAGGGCCCCAAGAGGCGCCCAGACGTCCCCAAGAGGCGCCCAAGAGGCCTCCAAGAGGCTCCCAAGAGACCCCCAAGAGACCCCAAGAGGCTCCCCGAGACATCCGAGACGCTCCAAGAGGCCCCCAAGACGCAAGAGAGGCCCAAGGGAGCCCTAAGACGGCCCCAAGAGCGCCCAATAGTGTCCCAAGAGCGCTCCAAGAAGGACCCTTCCTCTGTGTGCTGCTCACTTCCAATCGAAGCAACTCCTCTGGGCATCGTCTCTGGATGCGCTGGTGGGGTTACGTACAACGTCTAGATTAAGAGCGCTGCAACCGTGCCTGCACGGAGTGGGCGTGTTAGAATACTCGTGTGTTGCTGGGGAGGTGTTCTCCATGTTCTCCAGGGCCAGCCCCACCCTCGGCCCCACAGGCGGGGGCCCTCGGCGACGGAGGGGGGGGGGGCTCAGGACCCACCTGGGGGCGCAGGGGCATGCACAACGTTGCCCTTTGGACCCACACGTTGCTCTGAACATGAGGCCAAGACAACGCATGGGGGCCCTCAAAGAGCCTTTTCTTTTGCCCGCCCCGAGAACGCAGGGGTGCCGCCCACCCGCGGCCCTGTCGATCTCCTGGGGAGACCTACTGGTCAAAGCTGCGGGGCCGCGTGGGGCCTCCCATGAAGCTCTGCGAAGCCACGCGAGGCCCCGTGGACAAAGCCAGGGGGTCGTGTGGACCTGGGAGCCCTGTAAAGCCATACGTTGGGCGCCCGAGTTATCCGGGGTAACTCGGGTCCGGGGTAACTCGGGTTTGGATTCCCGAAAAAGGAACCCGAGTTAGCCCTGACCCGAATTACCCCTGATGATTCGGGGCGCTGGACGCCCGAACTATCCGGAGTAAGTCGGGTCCGGGGTAAGTCGGGTTCGGATTCCCGAAAAACGAACCCGAGTTAGCCCTGACCCGAGATACCCCTGATGATTCGGGGCTCTGAATACGGCCCCTGCGGACAGAGTGTCAGAGGACGCCTGCGGAGAACCCCACTGCGGGCTCAGGGCCACGTGCGAACACCTTGCTTTGGTGTTCGGCACCTTTTCGAGGTCGGGCGTCGCAGCACCTACTCACACGCACCGTTCTCCCGAGCATCGCGGTGACCACACCTCGAAACCCAAGCGTGGGATGCTCTGCACCGGCGCACGATGCTCCCCGAAGGGTAAATCCCACTACGCACCGGCATCGCATGCACTCCGGTGGGCACACTCTTGCCGCCTGACAGCTCAGCAAAATCATACGAAACCCTGTTGCATTACTCCACGACGCTGCACATCTGTCAGGGCAGCCCTCTATGGACGTATGGCTTACGCAACTGCAAACTCCAACAAACAAACCACGAAAACATATCTCTGACCTCTGACGCTCAATAAGCCGCAGCCCATCTTCCGTCTTTTCTGGCGGATCTGATATGGGCCATACCCGGTTCTCTCATCTTGCCTGCAGCTATCATATCAATCACGTTCTGCCTGTTCTTCTTTGACCACATCGACTTGGGCCGCCGAGGCGTGAACCGCTGGATGTAGCACGACTCATCGACCGACCTGACTGTGCTATCGATCCAACCCCAACAAAGTGCGGCTCGCACAGACGTTTGCCAATCGGTGGATTTATTGCCGCTGCTCTTCTTATACATGCGAACCCATCCGCCACCGGGCCTTGTGCCCGTTTGGGCATGTTAGAACACTTGTCTGTTGACTGGGAAATTGCTGAAACAATTTCGATGGCCGACCCCCCCCTCCCGGACGGCACGCGTACATATGAGATCGCCCCACCTGAACTTACTCTACAACGCTCTCATCCGCCTTCAGGCGATAAAGATGGCCTCCGAGATGGCTTCCAAAGCAGTCAAGACGACACCAAGCTGGCCCAATCTGACCCAAGATAGCTCAAGAGGCTCCCGAGACGGCCTCAAGACAGCTCAAGAGGCGCCAAAGACGGCCCACGAAGGCTCCAAGACGCCCTCCTGCAGAGCCCAAGGAAACCAACACCACTGATGTTCCGCTCGTGTTTGACGGCTCTGGAGGTTCTCGCCTGCGTGGGCTTCCGACCGCCAAAGACGGCACAAGACGCTGCCAAGAGGCCTCCAGGGTAACTGCAAGACGGCCCAAGAGGCCCCCAGGAGGGCCCCGGGTCGGCCCACGAGGACCCAAAGATCGCCAGCGGTGCTCCCAAGAGGGCCCCACACATGATCAACACGGCGCAGGCAGGCCCCAGAGGCAGCCTCCGAAGGCGTCAGACAGGCCCCTGAGACGGCCCAATGAATCCCCCAAGGCCCCAGGAGGCCCCCAAGAGGTCCTCAGAGGCCTTCACGAGGCTCCCAGGAGGCCACAACAGGGTCCCAATAAGCCTTCTCCTCCTCGGTGTCACGTTCTCCTTCTCATCCCCCTCCTCCTCCCAACCGCGCGGACGAAGACGAGATCGAGATCAGACCACTCGTCGGAATTGCGCTGTTCTTGCACTTAACCTCCTCTCTGCCGAGCTGCTGAACAAACACGGTGGCGGGGTTCGCCGCAAGCAACTCGATAATTCATCCTTCTTACCGTGATGTTTCTCAAGCCACGAATGAAATGCATCGAAAGTGCGGAAACATTTCGAACTGTGATGCTTGATTGGCAGTGGAGATACAACGGCATTCTTGCCTTTCGCTTTCTGCCGGGAAGACTTATGAGACTTACGTTGTGCCGAAGAGGCCGGTCTCTTTGTT